CTCCTTTAAGAAAATTGTTAGAAGGCTATATTAATAAAAAAAAATCTCGTTCTCGTGTTCAGGATTCATCCCCACAATTAAATTGGAACGAGAATGCTGAACAAGCCTTTATTGCTGCCAAAAATGCCATTGCTCAGGCTACCCTTTTGAGACACCCTATTCCCTGAGCCCAGCTAAGCATCTGGGTAGATGCCTCAGACGTCGCAATCGGCGGCACACTTATGCAGTTGTCTCAACAAACATGGGAACCTATAGCATTTTTCTCTATGAAACTCAGTAAAAGTCAACAGAAATGGTCCGCGTACGATAGGGAATTATTTTCTATTTATTCTGCAATTAAGAAATTCCGACACATGTTAGAGGGCAGAAATTTTATAATTTATACGGATCAAAAACCGTTAATATACGCTTTTAAACAGAACCCTCATAAATGTTCACCTCGACAATTGCGCCATTTAGATTTTATTTCTCAGTACTCTACTGATATTAGGCATGTGCAAGGTTCAAAAAACGTTGCTGACGCTCTTTCAAGAATCGAAATTGATTCCATAACAAAATCTCCATTTTTGGATTTTAAAAAATTTTCGGAAGCTCAACGGCATGATCCGGAGGTACAAGACCTTCTCAAAAACAACACATCATCTTTGAAACTGGAATTTAAACCGTGCCAATATTCTGATGGTAATATTCTTTGTGACATATCAACGGACATTCCTCGTCCATTTGTTCCGAATTCCTTTCGCAGACTCATCTTTAATCATCTGCATAATCTGTCACATCCAGGAATTGCAGCTACCACGAAGCTTATTTGTTCTCGTTGTGTATGGCCCGATATGAAACGTCATATCAAAAATTGGGTGAAATCCTGTGAATCTTGCCAAAAATCGAAAATTACTAGGCATACTAAAGCACCACTGGGCACATTCTCTCTTCCTGATGCACGTTTTTCAGAAATCCATATGGATATCGTCGGACCGTTACCTCCATCAGAAGGCAACGTGTACCTTTTGACTCTAATAGATAGATTCTCCAGATGGCCTGAAGCCATTCCCATCCCGGATATGAAAACGGAAACCATTTGCAGAGCCATCTTCAACTGTTGGATATCTCGTTTTGGCTGCCCATCGATCATAACAACAGACCAAGGTTCTCAAATGAGATCCGCACTTTTTGCAGAATTCACGCGCATTTTGGGTACGAACAGAATCACAACAACAGCCTATCATCCAATGTCCAACGGCATTGTTGAACGATTTCATCGACATTTAAAATCTTCTCTCAAGGCTCACGAGACCAATAACTGGACTGAAACACTACCAGTTGTTATGCTTTGTATTCGGACAGCCGTAAAGGAAGATCTACAGTCATCTTGTGCTGAACTGGTGTACGGCACAACTCTCAAGCTGCCTAGTGATATGATAACGTCATCTAAGATATCTCCGTATGACACACAATTTATCACGAATCTTAGGCATAGAATGCAACAATTGAATCCAATAGCAACATCTGCACATTGCCAAGAAAAATGTTACGTAAGTGCTACCTTAAAGTCGTGTACGCATGTATACTTACGTGTCGATCGAGTAAAGCCACCTCTGTGCCAACCATATACAGGTCCGCATAAAGTCCTTTCTAGAACAGACAAAACTTTCACAATTGATGTTAACGGTCTGAAATCTACTGTGTCTATAGACCGTGTGAAACCAGCCTATTTGCTTTCGGACTCTAATTTGCCTGAACTGAAAACAAATAAAGACTTAAAGACAGTTCAGCAGAATAAATCTGCAAACGAACTCTCTAAGACACAAACTGTCACCAGATCGGGAAGACATGTTCACTTCCCTAAGAAACTTGCTTCTTACGTAACAATTTAAAACATTTCTTTTAAAATTCATATCTTAACATATTTCTTGTTATTTCATGTTTTTATTATATGTGTCAATACCTTGTTATATATTGAATTTCATTTTGATCTTTTCTAATTTTATATTCTAATTTTGTAATCATGAAAAAAAAAAAATACCCGACAGTTCGGATACTCTGAGATAATTTCATAACCTATGTCGTTCCTTTGAATAGCCATTAAAGGAACTGGGGGGAAACTCTGTGGTGATGGCGATAAGGAGCGCGCCTTGTGCCCTCCGATAAGTGTGGCAACCCTAGAGGAGAAGTTTTCTTACGAGTAGCGAGCAGAGCGAAACAGGCAGGCTGTCGGGGAGTATGCGCGATGTTCCTAAATAAAGCTTAATTTTTATTGTGCACTATGTCTTGTTAATATTTATATTAATGCAGTACGAACATAATCTGTGATATGGAATTCGAGGATTGGTGGTAAAAACATAACCGGAAATTTCCATAATATAATTGATAATATGCTAAATTGCTAAAATTATGGGACATTTACTTCATATTATGTGGCATCCTCCATAGCCTGTTGAAGTACAGCAGATGATGCAGCATAGATTTCAGAAGCTGGCAGAAATCTTCTGGTGAGACGTAGTACCAAATCATCTAGATATGATGCAGTTTCTCGGGTCTTGTAAAATACTGAATCTTGCATGCGAGTGAACTTTTTTGTCATATTTCATAAATGCTTCCTGAATTTGTTTTTAGTAAATATGGTAACTAGGTCATTTGTTGAAAATATCTAAACTAGTCTAGAACAGTGCTTGCTTGACAAGATTGTTCATTTCCTTTTTAGAAATTTCTGTCATTTTTTGGGTTGTACAGAGTCATTGACAGCAAACAAATGGTTCAAGAAAATGATTCTCATTTAATGCCATATTTAGCAGGATTAGACAATCCAACTAAAGATCTAAAGATTAAAAAAAAAAAAAAAAAACCACTTATGCCATTACAGAGAAAAAAATGTCTGCAAAATGCCTTGTTGACAACCTGGATTCGTGCTATCTACCTTTTAAATTTTCTAGAGTCCCTTACAGGTATGTCTGATGGTTTGCTGTTATTTAAAGGCATCTTCTGTTGCTATTTCCCATTAATGCTAAATTTTGCTATACTGCTGATCTTGTAAATATTCCTGTGATACTTTCTGCATTGAATCTTACAGTGTTGCTTGTTTTGTTAGCAGTGACAGTTCTGGTCAGATATTGCTACATAAATCTTAACATTATATTATGACCACCATTACCTAATGGATTGAAAAATACTGAATACCCAATTAACTTCAGTAATTGATTGCTGTTTTTTTAAGCTCCAATAGTCATTGTCTTATGATAATCTTGTAATATTCAATATGCCGTATTGAATTTGGAATACATTCATTTCAATATGCCCTATTTAATTTGGAAATTGTTTCAAAACTGAAAAGTTTATAAATGGTGTTGCTAATGCCATATATTATTTACTTGAGTACAGAAAAATCATTTGGTTTTTGGATAAAGCATAAATTTTGTGATTTGTAAATTTGAAGAGTAAGAAGCGCATTAAAATCCATCAGTTTGAATGTCTTTATGAGAAGTTCATATTAAGAAAACAGAGATATGAAACATGATTCCATCACAGAGGTTGTTGATAAAAAACTGAGGAGGAATTTAAGTAGGTAGATAGCTCTTGTGTGCTTTTCTTAATAATTCAAAAATCCAATCAGATAGTCATTTTATAAAATGGTTTGGTAAAAAGGCCCGCAATTCAGTAAATAATTTTATACAATCATGGATAGTTATTTTACAGAATGATTCGCTAAAGGACCTTTAATTATTGAATATAATACTCAGAGAAGATTTGATAAAGTATTTTTACATTTTGCTGTCTCATATAATAGATTAGGTATCTCATTAGCAGCTAACTTTTGTACCCTCAATGGCCAATTTATTGAGACTTAGGGCTGCAGGCTATGTAGTATGTTGTAATTAGCAAGTATAGATTATGCTTCGGAATAACAAAACACCAGTTATTTTAATATCCTGGTGGTATTAGTTTCAAATAATAATTGTATGAAAATGGTACTGAGCTGATTAGAAGAATTAAAATAATACACAAATTTCGTGTATAATATATAAACTTTAATTTGGGGGTGCTGAAAATACTTCACAGGCTACATGTGGCCTGACTGTTACTTGTTGGTCATCGCTGAAGTACCACTATAGTTCAGTACAACTGGAAAAGGAATCTTCAGACAATTATTTTTAACTTTCAACTAGAGTCAAATTAAAACATTTCTTAGTTTAGTGCTATGAAAATTCAGCTTAACTATTGTTCTGACCCTTACCATTTTCTAAATTTTCTTGTGGAAGGAAGCAGATAGCAAGACGATTTTCAAGATTTTAATTTCCAGACTTCACAAATAAAAATTTTGCATAATTTAAAAAAATCTGCAAATATGGCTATGTTTCACTTGCCTTTCATCTTCATTTGCATTACCTATCAAAGGCCAAGGCCATTTCAGTAAGCTTCCTCCAATGGATCCGATCAGTCGCTACAGCTTGCTAACGATTGATTTTTGTCTTGAGATCTGCATCCAAACTATCCATATTGTGCAAGGTTTTTCTCTTTTCCTGGGATCTTCTACACTTGCAAACATCACCTTTTTAAAAGGTTTCAAGTAGTCACATTTAAAAATATGTCCAAGTCACCTGATAGCCTTTAATCCTCAGCAAATTTTAAAAAAGAATGTTCCTCCCCCCTCCCCAGTGAAATTTATTTACAGGCAGTTACTGGATATTGATTATTTAAATGTTTTCACAAATTAAAACCTTATAATTATAAACACAATTATGTTCAACTTAAAACAGTTCAAAATTAAAACGTTAAAAATCTATATGTGAATTCATAATAATGCAAAACATTTATTTACAGTTATGTAAAATAATATATGTGTGCAATCATTGTTTTGAAGGTTTGCGCATGCTCTTTATAGTATAGATAAAATAATTTAATGGGGAATACTTTTTTTGTGTGTGTTGGGGGATTTACTCAAGCTTTGAATGTTTTTTTTTTTTTTTTTTTTTTTTTTATAATGTATAATGTTGAATGTTATATAGGTAGCAAATGACTATGAAAACATCATTAGAAGATTTCTGGCAAGAGCTGAAGCTGATCCTGTATTTGATAAATATCTTTCTTATATTTGCAGTAAGTTTCCATTTCTTAATATGTGCTTTATGAAAATGATCAATGGCTGTGCTTATTATTTTTATGAAACTTGTAGAAGTATTGAATATTTCTTTTGACATTATTTTATTATACTCTTCTGGCAAGTTTTGGCGGGGAGATGGAAGCAAACAGAAAGGTTTTTCAGAAAAGTGTAATGCTGAAATTAAAAAATTATGTACAGTTAGAATGTTAACACTTGGCATGCGGGCAACGTATTTTTACGTTTTTTGCAATCTGTCATTGGAGTGCGGGTCATGTAAAAATATGTATGGCCTGTGGGTAATGTATTTTTACATTTTTTTGCAGTCTGTCACTGGAGCGGGGGTCACGTAAAAATATGTATGGCATGCAGGCAACATATTTTTACGTTTTTTTTGCAGTCTGTCACTGTAGCGCGAGTCACGTAAAAATAAGTATTTAGTAGATTTGTGGTGGATACCCGCTAACCACCACAAATCTAGACAGTATATGGGTGTTGTTTGCGTTGCTAGGCAACGCTTTGCATTTTTTCTTTCAACAAGTCATGATTGGTCGAGTTTGTCTTTTGTTGAGTTATTTCGTCTTCAATCGAATTCTTAGTTCCAGAACGTACAAGTCGTGTTTTGTCAATTTGAAGCTTGGTTTTTTATTATTGATTAAATAAATTGATAAAATGAACCCTTGTGACAAAGATAGTGATGAAGAAATATGCGCTGACAGATTTTGCTGTCTCATATAATAGATTAGGTATCTCATTAGCAGCTAACTTTTGTACCCTCAATGGCCAATTTATTGAGTCTTAGGGCTGCAGGCTATGTAGTATGTTGTAATTAGCAAGTATAGATTATGCTTCGGAATAACAAAACACCAGTTATTTTAATATCCTGGTGGTATTAGTTTCAAATAATAATTGTATGAAAATGGTACTGAGCTGATTAGAAGAATTAAAATAATACACAAATTTCGTCAATAATATATAAACTTTAATTTGGGGGTGCTGAAAATACTTCACAGGCTACATGTGGCCTGACTGTTACTTGTTGGTCATCGCTGAAGTACCACTGGACTTTTCGTATGATAGTGATTTTGAAAGTCAAGATATCGAAGAAAGTGACGATGATGAAATTATTCCACGTTCTCGAGTGTTCGTCCGAAGAAGAATTTCTAGTAGTTTTGAAACAACTTTTGATGAAGAAGCAGATGAATGGTCATCGATTGACAATCCTCCAGACCTTGAAGAGTTTTTGGGTCATCCTGGGATAACTAACATGGCTAATGTTCCTGAATCCACAGCTGATGCAGTAAAGTTATTTATAGGCAATGACGTTTTTGCATATTTAGTCACGGAATCAAACAGGTATTATTATCAAAATATGAATCAGTTCAAAATATCTCCCAAAAGCATGAAATGGAGAGATATTACGATTTCGGCCATGGAGAAAATTTTTGAGGCTTATTATTTTCATGGGACAAGTTGGTAAAGACGCCCGAGACGATTATTGGTCAACTGATGTCTGCACAAGTACACTGTTTTTTTCGAAAACTATGTCGAGGAATAGATTTCGCCAAATATGGAAGGCTTGGTATTTCAATAACAGTGAAGACATCACAGATGATTCTGATCGATTATTCAAAGTCAGGCCTATACTAAATTGTTTTGTTGAAAAATTCAATAACATTTACAAACTGAAACAACAAGTATCATTAGATGAGGGCATAATACCTTGGAGAGGACAATTGTTTTTGTAAATTTACAACGCTGGAAAAATTATAAAATACGGCATACTCATACGAATATTGTCTGAAAGTGACACTGGTGTACGTTTGATCGAAACGATACTCACAGTAGTTTTGCCATATACTGATGTCTGCCACCATTTGCACATTGACAGTTACTACAACAGCGTCGATAACACGGAAGACCTTTTACATACAAAAAAAAAAAATTACGAATTTGCGGAACAATTAGGAAGAATAGAGTGCCTGGAAAAAACTAATTTGAAAAACGGCGAAACAATCTTTCGAAGAAAAAATGATATATTGGTGCAAGATTGGCAATCCAAGAATGAAATCAGTCTCATCTTTTCTATTCATTCCATGGAAATGAAAGAAAGTAGTAATGTTGATCGTATCAAGAGACAAAAAATTATAAAGCCAAATGCTTTGATCGACTACAACAAATACATGAAAGGAGTAGATCGGATTGATCAGTATTTGTCCTACTATAGTATTTTCCGTAAAACAGTGAAGTGGACAAAGCGCTTAGCTATGTATATGATGAATTGTGCATTTTCAATGCATATGTAGTATACAGTTTGACAAAGACGTAAAAAAAAAAAATACAAGAAATTTTTGCACTGCATCGCACGGCATTGGATTACTGATGAACTACCTGAAATCAGCACTGAGAAACCAGAGCAAATGATATCAAAAGGTGACCTTCCTGGAAAATTGTCCATGGATATGCGCAAACAAGTATTGGAGAAGATTGTTGGTGCCGGGAAGAAGAAAAATCCACAAAGACAGTGTGTGCAATCAAAAAAGTGCGAAGTGAAACGTGTTTCATATGTAGCTTCTGCCGTGTTTCTTTTCATAGAGGAAAATGCTTTGAACGGTACCATACTGTAAAGAACTATTAACGTGTTATCAGTTCTATTTGTACTTGTTATGAAAAAATATTTTTGAATGCATTGTAAAATTTTAAAAATTTATTTTTGTGATTTCGTAATTTTTTTTTTTTTTTTTTTTTTAAATAATCATACAGTATATATTTAAGTGTAAAATAAAAAAAAAATTGTTCATAAAAACAAAGTAGTTTTCAATTTACTGCAATTTTCCTGAATAACTATACTTCCGTGCGATTCACGAAAAATTGCCCGCTGCACGCATAAGTTCGCGGCGAAGTATAACCGCATGTCAAGTGTTAAGGAAAGGAAATTTGCGGATAAGGCTTCCATAACATCTCTCATATCATTATAAAAAATCATCTAATAAAAGTAGTTACAATAATTTGTTTTGGTCTCATTTGCTCCATCTGTTAGTTACAGAATTATTCAGCTTCTCCATAAGTTCAGTTTTCAACTATTATTTTCTCTGCTGTTAATTAAGTTTGTTGTTCAGTAGTCTTTCTGATTTTAATTTCGAGGGATTTGTAATATTCTTTAGCAATGTATTTTAATGTATATCAATCTATCAGCTGCATTAAGAGGTCATTACTATTTCACATTAAATAATATGAATCTGAAAAGGGGGATGTAAGTAAATCCTACATAGGGTATCATTTTTTAGACTTCATTTCTTTAATTGATATAAAATTTCTGTTTGTGCGTATTCATATCCTTAACACGTTCGTGACGGGCACCTCTGTTACCGAAGCGTTCTCTTGGGACGGCGCGTTAACCGGATTCATCGTCCTGTAGGAATGAGGAATTTACATCGCTAAGCCTAACTTTGGGAAAAAATTCGTATAAATGAAATTTGTCATCTAATGTTTCCAATTTTGGGTACATTATGAGAAGAACATTCAGGTAGTCATCAGAATAAATTTTAAGTCTTTGTTGTTATATTTTCCTTAAAAATTTTATAAAATACTCATTCTAGAATAATATAATTTTTCTCTTATCACACAAATAAATATATGTGGAAAAATATCCAAACAATCTCAGATTTTATTTAACACAACACATAATTAAAATTAAAAATATTAAAACTGTCTTTCATAAAAATTCAAGGAACAAACAACGAAATGTAAGCAGTGTTTCAAAATGAGACAGTGTATGATAGTCTTTGAAACATGGGTGTAGGCAAAGTCCAACGTTTCATTAGTCACAAGAATATAATACCTGCTGCTATTTTACTCAGCAAATTTGACTCATTTAGCATTTATATATGTTCTACAGTCAGATAGTGCTAAAAAGAAAAAAAAAAAAATTAAAAAAAACCTTTCACTAAGCGATACAAAATATTTGTCTCAATGCCAGAAAATTCAAAGCGTAATAAAAAAGTCTCTAATGATAGAACATCTACTCCACTACAACCGATAAAAAAATAAAATAAAAATAAGAAAAATTAATAAATTAAATTAAAAGTATTCCAGAGCATCCAGACCATGTTCATTTGTTTATATAAAATGACCCAGTAAGAGCCATTACATTACTCAACACTAACAAATTAGCGATTGTGTATATTCTACATTTAGATACTGCTTTCATTTGCCATTAAAAAAAGATACGTTTCGCTGAAGATTAAAAATATTCATCTCAAAGCACGAAAAATCTACGAGTAATAAAAAAAAAAAAAAGAAAAATATAAGAGTAATAAAAAAATCTCTAGTGATAGAACTCTATCCTACTATATCGCAAAAATAAAAATAAAAAGTACCTCAATGCAGTGAGAGCACGTGCATTATATCAAATGACGCAGTTAAAGAGACATTACATTGCTCAACACCCACCCCGAATCTCGCTCTCATTCGGAAACAAAATACCAAAAATAAAAAATCATTGCATAGGAATGAAGGTAAGCATACTTAACTTTCGATATATTTCCCCATAACAGGCATACAGCTACATCTCGCGGCAACAAAAAATATTAATTAAACGTTCTATCTAAAAAGCCAAATGTGTTACATCCGGCCGGTAGAGTGAATTAAATGGCGATTCAAATATGACACACCCAGCCATGAGGTAATGTTCGCTGCTGATGCACTACTGAATGGGTTAGTCCATCCACTGTAAAGAGGGGGGAAAAGACTTAATTTCAGTTAATGGTATTAATTATTCCAATCTAGTTATCCTGGAAAGCTTTTAACCCTTTGAAGGGCACCGGTATATAGAATATACCGAATGTTTGTCAGTTTTTTAACCTCCTAAAAAATGCTAATTTTTCTTCATCAAAAGCTGTAATCGTAAGTTTCTACTGTTTCCTTTTGATTTTAAATGACAGCACTACCCTATGAATGCTCAATATTTTGCAGTTATGGCATTAATATACCTCTTTCA